CCGGCTCCCCCGGGGCCCGCCGGTGGGTGCGGGGTGGTTTGGACGGGGCTGACCCGCCTCGGGCCGCGGTTGGGGTGGCTGGTCCCTGGAGGCGGCTCCGCGCCAGGCGCGGGGCACCGCCGGTTTGCGATGGGACGCAGGGTGCTGTCAGGGTTTTCTTCACGGCTCCTTCCTTCATCCTCCTCCTCCTGTTTCGTGTCCCTTGCTGATACCTGCGGGGCGCTACGCCTGCGCGAAGCAGCGAGGGTTGGCTGCCCTGCCTGCCCCGGCTCCCAGGTGCTGCCGGGCGGGGGGCAATCCCTTCCCCCCCTTCCCAGCAGCACCTGCTGAGCACCAGGCTTTTTCCTTAAATTGCTGGGAACTGGGGTAGATGGGGCAGCCATGGGGGGCTGGGGAGAGCGGATGGGGGGCAGGAGTCCCCCAGTGGTCACTTCCCCCCTCCCAGCCCCTCTCCCACGCCCCGAGTACTTACCAGCTCGGAGCGGGCGCAGCTCCCTGCCGGGGACTGCCCGAATCATCAAAGCTCTCCGAATCTTTTCTGAAGATTTGGACAGCTTTGAATCGATTCAAACCTTTACATCGGTCCCCTCATTCGATTTGGAGATTCGGCCGCCGACTTGGGCCGAATCTCGTCCAAATCAAATCGCCACCCGAATCTCCGCGCAGCCCCTTTGAGCACTGAGCTGATGTTTTTAGTGGACTGTCCACAATGAGTCCCAATCCCTTTTCTTTCTAGTAACAGCTAATGCAGAGCCTGTCATAGTATAGGTACAGTTTGGGTTATTTCTGCCCACGTGCATTGCTTCCCACTCACCTACACTGAACTTCACCTGCCACTGTAGAGAGTTAGGAGCCCGCTGTATGTGCGGAGTACCGTAGAAGCACTGAATGCTACTGTGCCGTGTTTTCTGGGGTTGTAGCGATGTCTAGAGTCTTGTTTCTCTCTCCTAGTTCTGACTCTGGGGAGGAGAGACGCAGCTGGAAAAAGAAGAAAAGCAAGAGCAGAGACCAGCACCACAAAAGCCAAAAGAAACATGGCTCTCGGTCGCGAGATCGTCCCTCCAGTTCAGACTCAGAAGGCGAGAGGGAAAAGAGGAGAGGTCGCAGCAGAGACAGGAGAAGGAAGAGATCCAGCTCCAGGTCTTCGGTGTCCTCTGTCACATCTCCCTCTCCCTCGCGTTCCCAGAGCTCCAGGGAGGACTCGGGGCAGCAGCTGAGTGTTAAGGAGCGTCTGAGGTTGAAGGATGAAAAGAAGCAACAGGCTGCACTGATGAAAGCTTTGGAGACGCCTGAGGAAAAGAGGGCCCGGCGGCTGGCGAAGAAGGAGGCCAAGGAGAGGAAAAAACGTGAGAAGATGGGATGGGGCGAGGAGTACATGGGTTACACCAACACCGACAACCCCTTTGGGGACAACAACCTTCTAGGCACCTTCATCTGGAGCAAGGCGAGTTCGTACTTCAGACTCAACCAGCTGTGGGGTGCCAGAGAAATGGGGTTGCCTCCCCATCATCAGATAATTGGGTCTCAGCTGCTACCAAGGCAAAGCTCAGCAGAATCTTTTTGTGCCTTATTTCATGCCCTTGTGCTGGCAGCTGAGAAGTGATAGGGGGCAGAGAGGGACAAGCTTGTGTGGAGTGAGTTACCCAAATTGTATAAGGATAAGAGAGGACAGAGGTGTGACAGCAAAAGCTGCTCCAGGCCCTGCAGGAGGTGCCCTCCCTTGTACCTGCACTTGCCTTCTTGGAATCCTTGCTCAAGCCATTTGACCTTCTGTTAACGACCTTTCTCTGCAGCTGGGGGCAGCTGCTTTTGCAGCCCCATAGCCATGTTTCAGGGTCGCATGCCTTGAGTTACAGACAATGGAGCAAGCTAGCCCACAGCGGTGCAAAACTTCGTTCTTGGTTCGATTCAGTGCAGGTTTGGCCCAATCCTGTGGCCGAATCTGTGAATCCGAATTGAGTCGGAGGACCCTTAATCTCTCTGAATCAAATCAGAATCCTCCGAATTGATTCGGGGAGATTCAGACATAGAGACAGCTTTAAATGTTTTTTCTAGATACCTCTAGGTAGCAGGGGCTCATGAATGCTGTGATGCTGGGGTGCATGGAGCATCCCACAGAAAAGCAAGGGGCTCCCCAGCGTGCTAAGCTGCAGACCCAGAAGTGAACCAGAAGCACTTCCAGTCCACTTGACGGGTCCGCTGTGGAGCGTGCTGGCCCCCTCCCCCAACACACACACCTCCCCAGCTCAGTGACTAGTGCCTCCTGGGTCTGTGGGGGGGGGGGGGGGGGCAGCCGGAGTCCCCCTGCAGCCAATTGCCAAGATGGGAGGGCATGGGGAGGCCTCCCAGTTCACTCCCCGGCAGACCCAGAAGTGGGCTGGAAGTAGTTTCGGTCCATTTCTGGGTTTGCCACCAAGCACGTGGAGGGACTCCTGTGGGATGCTTCATGCACCCCAGCATTGCAGTGATCATGAATCATGCCTGCTACCTCAAGGTATAAAGAAAAAACTTTTAGAGCTGTGTCTGTGTCCGAATCGCTGATTCTCCAAATCAGCATAGAATCTTCAGATTCGGATTTGGTCGAATCGAGCCGCTGTCCCTGGTTCAGGCTGAATCTAAATCCGGATCGAATAGGGCCCACTTTGCACACCCCTAGCTGCCAGTTAATGCACTTATTATCACCTGAAATTGAGGGGAGATTTCTGTATATTCAGACTTGAGGCTAAATTCGTGGTGCCTGCCAGCTAGTTCAGCCTTGGTTCTAGTTCAGTAGCAACTTCTCTGGGAGGCAGCAGTGGCTAAATTCTTCTATAGCTTGTTGAGGAGTTGGAGTACTGCGTCCAATTCTGGGCGCCACGCTTCAGGAGGGATGTGGACAGCATGGAGAGGGTCCAGAGGAGGCCACCCGCATGATCAGGGGGCAGCAGGGCAGGCCCTACGAGGAGAAGCTAAGGGACCTGAACCTGTTCAGCCTCCACAAGAGAAGGCTGAGGGGGGATCTAGTGGCTTGTTACAAACTAGTCAGAGGGGACCAGCAGGCACTGGGGGAGTCCCTGTTCCCCCGAGCACTACCAGGAGTGACTAGAAATAACGGTCACAAGCTGACAGAGGGTAGATTCAGACTAGACATCAGGAGGGGCTACTTCACTGTCAGGGCGGCTAGGACCTGGAACCAGCTTCCAAGAGAAGTGGTGCTGGCTCCTACCCTGGGGGTCTTTAAGAGGAGGTTAGACAAACCCCTTGCTGGGGACGTTTGACCCCAGTACTTTTTCCTGCCATGGCAGGGGGGCGGACTTCATGATCTGCTCAGGTCCCTTCCGACCCGAACAACTATGAAACTATGAGTTGGGTGAGGGGGTCTGCTCTTGGAGGGTACAGATGGCAGGTACTGAATGCCCTGTGTGGAAGCCTGTTAGGAGTTCCTATTAGATGGCAGCTGAGAGGCCTTTTGCGGGATATGGGGCTCCACACATCCTCTTAATGCATGAATGCTTTCAGGCCCTGGAGAAGAAAGGGATCAGCCACCTGGAAGAGAAGGAGCTGAAGGAGAGAAACAAACAAATCCAGGAGGATAATCGCCTGGAACTGCAGAAGGTAAGTACTCCCTCTGGTTCCCAGCACCTGCTCTCATGGACCTCCAGCTCTCCCAACTCAGGATGAGACCAAGCAGAGTCCATGAGGGATTGAATGCTGGGCTCTGTTTAAAGTATTGTCTGAGTTCCTGTTCTCAGATCAGCACTATGGGGAGCAGTAGCCCTGGTCTCTGCTCCATACCAGCTTCCCCCTCTGCTGAGTAGGTGAAGCAGCTGCGCTTGGAGCGGGAGCGGGAAAAGGCGATGCGTGAGCAGGAGCTGGAGATGCTGCAACGGGAGAAGGAGGCAGAGCACTTCAAAACCTGGGAGGAGCAAGAGGACAACTTCCACCTCCAGCAGGCCAAGCTGCGGTAAGCAGGCACCAGTGGCTCAGCTGTGGGCAGGGCTGGTGGAGGGCCCAGGTACCCAGTGCTCACCCTGGACCCTCCTGTCACCTGCAGATCAAAGATCCGGATCCGGGATGGCCGTGCCAAGCCTATCGACCTGCTGGCCAAGTACATCAGTGCAGAGGACGATGACCTAGCAGTGGAGATGCATGAGCCTTACACTTTCCTGAATGGCCTGACGGTATCTGACATGGAGGATCTTTTAGAGGATATCCAGGTACCTGCTCTGTGGGGAGCACAGACAAGCACCCTCCTGATGCATCCCTCCTCACCTTCTGCCACCAGGGCTTCGTGTTCTGCTGGTGAGGTTGGGAGCTGCTGATGCTTCTTCCTCTCCTTTAGCCACAGCTTCAGTCCCAACTTGCACTCATCCTTTCACCTGCATAGTAGTCAATAGAACAGCAGCACCAGCAGGGGCCAACAGCCTGATGCAGACAGCAGTGAAGGACAGACCCCTGACTTCTGTATGCTCCTTAATTGCAGGTTTACATGGAGCTGGAGCAAGGCAAGAATGTGGATTTCTGGAGGGACATGACCATCATCACTGAGGATGAGATCTCCAAGCTGCGGAAACTGGAGGCTTCTGGGAAGGGACCAGGTGAGAGGGCAGGGATAGCTGCCTGCCAGAACTCACAGGTTAGGACAGGGGCAGGCAATTATTTTGGGCAGAGAACCACTTCCTGTAGCCCTGCCCCTTGACAGGTGCTCCGCCCCCTGGTGGCGATCTTGGGACTGGTAGTCCCAGCCCCTAACCCCCACCCTTTGCCACCAGAAGTCCCTCCCCTTGTCCCTGGAAATACTCCTTTCAGCAAGGGGTTTTTGCCATCTCAGAACCAGAAAAATACCAAATTCTAAAAATCAAACATCTACAACGTTCATTAATTTGATTTAAAAAATATTTTTGTCCTGATTTACATGCGTTTGTGTAGTATACATAGAGGTGATTTGTACAATAGCTTAAAATGAAGTCTTACTGTTACATACTGTGGGGTGTTGGGGGGCATGTGGGTGGGTATAGGTTTGTGGGGGGCTGTGGGGTGTAGGGAGGGGGGGTGTGTGTATGTGGTGGTTTTGTGGGGGGTGGGTGTGGGGTGAGGGAGCATGTGGGTGCATCTGTGGATATGGTGTGTGGGTTGGTATGGGGTTTGTGGGAGGGTGTGGGTGTAGGTGTCTGTATGTATGGCAGTGCAAGGGAGGGATGTGAGTGCGTGTAGGTTGGGGGACTCGCCCAATAAATACACACACGCCCCTCCCACTCCTGGCCCTGGGATACTGGTGCAGCCCTGTGCTCCCACAGTCTGGCGATTCAGCCCAGGGGAGCTGGCGCACAGGGGAGCAGTGAAAGTCAAGGCAGGCATAGGCTTCTGGTTGGGGGGGCTGGGCTGGACCAGACTTGCTCCTGAGTCCTGCCGGCTTCCCCTGGGTCCTGTTGGCCCTGGCTCCTGTCATCTTTGACAGGCAGCCAGGAGCAGATAAGTTAATTTTCTAAACTTTTTAGGTACCCCGCAGGCCAGATAGAACAGCCTGGCAAGCTGGATACGGCTCACGGGCTGTATTTTGCCCTCCCCTGGGTTAGGAGGAGCTAGTGCAGACTTTCCTGCTCTCCCTGCCCTTCAAGACAGAGTTCAGGACAAACCTGGGCAGGCACAGGCCAAGCTTACACCAGACAAGGGTTTGTGGTGAGAGCAGCACAGCATGGACCATGGGCCCTCTGCCCATGAATAACAAAATCTTGGCATGCTCCAACTTGGCAGTGGCAGATCTCAGCCTGGCTTCCTCTGCAGTCAGGCAGGGAGCATACAATCCTGGAGGACTGGGCTCATGGACACCCCCACTCTCCTAGCTACAGTTAGGGGTCCCATGCCCATTGGACCTGGCAGACATTAACCCTTTCATGTCCATGTGGCAGGAGAGCGTCGAGAAGGAGTCAATGCCTCTGTCAGCTCAGATGTGCAGTCTGTGTTCAAGGGGAAGACGTACAACCAGCTGCAAGCTCTCTACCAAGGCATTGAGGGCAAGATCCGGGCAGGCGGGCCCAACCTAGACATTGGCTACTGGGAAAGTCTGTTGCAGCAGCTCAAGGCGTATATGGCCCGGGCCAGGTAAGGGTGCAGCTGATGTGAGCTGGGTGGGCAAATGGGGCAGCTTTGGGTAGGTAACACACCCACAAAGTTGGGCAACTTTCCAAGCCCAGCAGCAGCACAGCTCCTGCCAACTGGTTGCAGATTGCGTCCTTTCTTGGCAGGGGGGTGGAAGGGGTGGTTTGCACTCCAAGTCATCCTGGCTGGGCAGGAGGAAGCATTCAGCCTGTGCTGCAGAGGGATGGGTCCAGATACTGTGGATGACAAAGGCAGGTGTCATTGAATCCCCTCCTCTCTGAATGGAGAAGTTCCTGCTGCCTGATGCTGAGCCCCTTTTTTGGCTGGGAGGGGACCTGAGCTTGGAGCCAAAGTGCTTTACGTTGCTACAGTCGCCTGTGAGTAGTGCTGGACTGGAGTGGGTGGGCACCCATTCTGTCAGGCCTGAGTCAGGAGCAATTCAACATCTGCTGGTAACTGTTTCCCTGCAGGCTGCGGGAGAGACACCAGGATGTGCTGCGCCAGAAACTGTACAAGCTGAAGCAGGAGCAGGGTGTGGAGAGTGAGCCACTCTTCCCCATCCTCAAGAAGGACCCGTCTTCCCCCAGTGACAGGTATGTAAGGGTCTGTTTCTTTCTTATGCAAGCTACCCTGTTAGCTTCCTCTGATGTCTTTGGTCCCTAAGGTGCAACATAGGCCAGCAGTCAGCACCTGGGGCTCAGAGAAGGCCCCTGTGTTCAGTGCCTGCCACTGTTCCTGCCCCACCTTGGCACCTGTTTCCTGATTTGTGGGGCATGTCAACGAAATGGGGCGGCCTGCATAAAACAGCCAGAGCTCCAGGGGCAGAAACAAGGGACCCAGGGGCAGGTCTCTGAAGGGCTGTGAGGGGGGCTGCTGATCCTTGAAGGCTGAGCTGTCCACTCAGGGACAGCTGGTGCGGGGGCAGACTGAATCATTGCTGGTGCCTCAACTATGCTGTGTGCCTGAGGGGGTGCACCAGGCATATGTAGCCCCAGTGCAGATGTCCAGTCCTTGAATGTTGCTAGTATTCCTTCGCACTTCCTTTGTTGACCAAGGCTTCATGCCCCTGTGTAGTGAAAGGCCCTATCCAATGTCCCTGAGCCAGGGAGATTTTGCATCCAGACAGTACAGCTGAAGTGGCTACAGGAGCTGTTGTAGTGGAGCACTGCAGGCCAGGTTCCCTTCTCTGACACTTGGAGAGTCCTTTACCAAGGATTCTCATTCCTTTGGGGTCAGGAAATCTACCATTTGGGAGAACCCAGGGCCTAGCAATTATTGGTAATGAGTGGGGAGTGCTGGTATGTAGGCTGCAATGAGCTTCCCCTTCTCGTTGGCTCTGCTGCCCCTAGACTCCTAGCACAGCACTAGTTTCTTTCCTGAGGATCCCAGGAAAGAAGCTAATGTTATGCTAGGGGTCCCCTGCTGTTCAGTATCTGCCATCCCTGCAAGAACAATCCTGCAAGGTGCTCCCAGCCTTCCACGGACAAACCTCAGTGCACTGGGCCCTTCCCGTCTTGCTCCAGAAGCTTTGGGCTGCACTGGCCAAGGAACGTCCATTTTTGAGACAGGCAGGCGCATCAGCCAGCCCACAGCTGCTTCCCTGCTTCGGAGTCCTCTGCAGTGTAGGTCACAACGTGGTTTTGCTCTGGGTTAAACTGAGATATCAGCGTTCTTAGGATGCTTTAGCCATGCTTGTGGGGTGCTCGGGGTTGGTTTGGCCTCTGTGGGCTGTAGCTCCGGGAGGGTAACTTGATGACACCTGCAGCTGATGGCTGTGGAGTAGGTCTGGGGTCTGTCCATCAGAGGGCAGCACTGTAGCTTCTTTCCTCTGCCTCCAACTCCTGGAGCACAGCCCTTGAATGTGGTCTGGCTGATCGCCCCTCCTGTCACAATGAAGTGTCTCTGTTTGCCTAGGGCAGGAATTCCTGAACTAGGAGACACAAGTTCCATGGAGCCACTGATTCCCCCAGGTGCCCACAGTTAATGGGACAGGGCACCAGCTGTCCCCTGCCCCACGGTGAGAGCTACACCAGGGAGCTTGGCCCTGACTGAAGTTGCTAAGTCATGCTGGGTTTGCTTTTGCTTCCTGCAGGGTAGGAGCAGGCTTACTTGCTTATCCTGGGAAGGGGAGGTGTGGGGAGCCCTGCACATGAGCAGCAGTGAGCATGTACAGGGGTCACAGGTAATAGCCCTACTGCAATTGGGGGTCATGGCTGGAAAATGTTTGGGGATCAGGGGCTGGGACTCTTCCAGTGCCCATCCCTGTCACCATCCTTTGCCTTGTAGGCCTGACCCAGAAGAGAGCACCTCAGTGCAGCCTGGCCCCTCCTCAGAGCCTGGGGAAGAGGCTGAGACGGAGGCCAAGGGGGATGGGGAAGGGGAAGCAGTGCTCATGGAGGAGGACCTGATCCAGCAGAGTCTGGATGACTACGATGCCGGAAAGTACAGCCCCAGGCTGCTGGGCTCCAATGAGCTGCCCTTCGATGCCCATGTTATAGAGGCAGAGGAGGACCTTCAGCGCCTGCTGCTTCTGAGGCAGCAGCTCCAGGTCACAGGTAGGAAGTGCCTGGTTGGTTCATGCCCAAGTGCCAGCTGGGCTTGGAGCTTCTGCAGCTTTGAGGAGAGCTGGGCTGGGATTGTTCATGCCTCGGGGTCTGCCCCAGGAAGCGCCAAAAAAGAGGCTCTGGGAGAGCAGCTTCTGGAAGCATGTTGTGCGCAATGGTCATAGAATCCTAGAAAATTGGGTTAGAAGGGACCTCAGGAGGTCACATCTAGTCCAATTCCTTGTGCAAAGTAGGGCCATTCCCAATTAGATCATTCCAACCAGGGCTTTGTTGAGCGGGGCCTTAAAAACCTCCAGGAATGGAGATTCCACTACCTCTTTAGGTAACTTGTTCTAGTGCTTCACCACCCTCCTAGTGAGAGAGTTTTTCCCAATATCCAACCTAAACTTCCCTTGCTGCAACTTAAGACCATTGCTCCTTGCTCTGTCATCTGTCACCACTGAGAACAAGTCCAGCTCCACCGTCTTTGGAACCCCCCTTCAGATAGTTGAAGGCTGCTATTAAATCCCCCCCCAGCCTTTTCTTCTACAAACTAAATAAACCTAGTTCCCTCCATTCCTGGGACCCAAACACCAGGGGCCCAGGGAAAGCCTGGCAGTAGGTTGCTTGAGGTAGTCTAACACAACACTTAACAAAGCCCAGTGCTCAGCCCAGGCCTGAAGGTCTGGTGGGTTTGGATGATCACAGATTCACAGAAGTTTACGACTGGAAGGGACCTCAGGAAATCATCGGGTCCAGCCCCTCTGCTCTGGGCAGGAAAGGCTGCTGAGATGCACCTGGAGTGTTCCTGGCATGCTGGGTGTTGGAGAGCTCTCGCCAGGTTATTGCCTGTGAGCTTTGTCAGTCCCTCAGCCAGCCCCATCCCCTTGGAGCCTGACCCACAGTCCATGGAGATAGCCCCAACCTCCCTCTTCTTGGTGGTGCCATGCGGGGGGTTCCCTAGCCCAGCTGTTGATATGTGGATGAGGCCTTGACCAGTGGAAAAGTGCATGCTCTTCCTTCTGTCCTTGGTATGACTCTCAGCAGCTCCCACTAAAGCAGCTGTTAGAGATAGAGGCGTTAGGCCCTCATTCCCTTCTGTAGTCTCTGAGCTGCTGCTGGTCCTGTCCCTACTCTGAGCCTCTCCCTGACTCTGGTCTTGACCTTTCCCCACAGGAGATGCCACCGAGAGCGCGGAGGATATCTTTTTCCGCAAGGCCAAGGAGGGCATGGGTGCTGACGAGGCCCAGTTTAGTGTGGAGATGCCCCTGACAGGCAAGGCCTACCTGTGGGCTGACAAGTACCGGCCCCGCAAACCCCGCTTCTTCAACCGGGTACACACAGGCTTTGAGTGGAACAAGTACAACCAGACTCACTATGACTTTGACAACCCCCCTCCAAAGATTGTCCAGGGCTACAAGTTCAACATCTTCTACCCTGACCTGATTGACAAGCGCTCTACGCCGGAGTACTTCTTAGAGGCCTGCCAGGACAACAAGGACTTTGCCATCCTGCGCTTTCATGCCGGGCCCCCCTACGAGGACATTGCCTTCAAGATCGTCAACCGCGAGTGGGAGTACTCCCACCGCCATGGCTTCCGCTGCCAGTTTGCCAACGGCATTTTCCAACTCTGGTTCCACTTCAAGCGCTACCGCTACCGCAGATGAAGGGGCTAAGCTGGGCACTTGGCCAGGCTCTCCCTGTTGCTGCTGGACCCTATGGGGCAGGGAGTACAGAGCCCCTAGCCAATCCTTTCTCTGGTGTCTCTTGCACCAAGGGGTGCCATTTCCCCGCCTTTTGTCTCTGCCCTGTGCCACTTGGACATTCCCCACTGCCTGGCCCTGAGGCTGGGCTCTAGTGGATCAGTATGGTATATCTCTCTGGGGACAGGGGTCCTTTTCTCCCCCTTGGGAGGAAGTTTTAAGGGGTTCTAGTGTGAGATCTTGGGATGGGTGAGTCTGGAGTGACTCATCCAGCAAATTAAACCTCTGTTCTCTGAAATGCCTGGTTATATTTGTATTTGGTGTGGTGTGGTTGTGTGCACAGGACCAGCCAGGAGAGCCCGAGGCTGGCCTGTAGGGTAAGGGTGGGCAGTCTTTTAGGGGGCTAGAGTGCAGTTTAGGGAGTTCTGGTGAGCTGTTGCAAGGAGGCAATGCAAATTAATCCTGTGCAGCCCATCCGTCCTGCACCCACTGCCAGGAGCACCAGATGGAGCAGGTGGGTGGAGTCTCCATGGAGACTAGCCTGGGACCCCAAGGGCAGGGCATGCTCTGCTGGGTGGAGGAGATGGGGCTGTGGGTGGGCAGTGCCGGGATCGTGGGGTGGTGACAACACGGGGCCAGAACCCAGGGCAGAGCTGCAGTCTGCTCCCTGCACATCTCTGCCCTGGACTCCAGCCCCATGCTGTCACTGCCCCATGATCCTGGCCCCACCTTCCCATCCCACTCCCAGACACTGTTTCCCACCTGCCCGCAGCTCCATCTGCCCAGCTGACCAAGTCCTGCCCATGGGGGACCCAGCCGGTCTCCATGGAGATCCTGATTGCAGGCTTCATCTGATGCCAGGGTTCCAGGGGGATCTGGGCCCACCTGGTGTTGCTCTCTGTGGTGGTATGGCTGCCTGCGGGGTCTCGGGCCTGCCCCTCCTCTCCGTGGGAACAAAGCATGCCCACGGGCATGCAGGGGTCTCAGCGAGGGACACAGCGAGGAAGGGAGTATGCAGCGGGGTTTGGCTGCTCAGCTGGTGGGGCAAGCGCAGCGGGCAGGCAGTGGGGATGCATGGGTGGTCAGTTCCTTCAGGCTGTGGGCATTTTATGCCTCCTGCCTCCGCTTCTGCCACCCTGGCAGTGGGTGTAGGGTAGATGGGCCAGGGTGCCCAGGAAACAGGGCTGGGTCTGGTGGTGGCAGCAAGACTGGCAGCGGCAGCTGGAAGCAGCTGCTGCTGCTAGGGCTGCCAGGAAACAGTCCTACCACCATGCTGCCCCAGCCCTGTTGCATGCCTGGGGGCAGTGGGACCAGCTGCGCCTGGCCCTGGTGGGGCCGAGGAACCCACCACGGGTCTGATAAAATCCCTTGGTGGATGGATCTGACCCGTGGGCTGTACTCTGCTCACCTGTGTTCTAGGGCAGCGTTTCTTGACCCGTGGGTCATGACCCGAAAGTAGGTTGCAAGAATATATGACAAGGTGACAAACAAACTTTAAAAATGGATTCTCCTTTAAAGGAGAAAAACGGAAACCATGGCTTTTGCCTTGCAGGCTGGCAGAGCTCCAGCCTGCAAGGGGCTGCTTGGGGTCCCCCATGCCCCACACACCCACCCCCTGCCCACATGCGGGGGGGCGGGGGGGGCGGGGAGGGCACATGCGTGTGTAGTGGGTCAGGAGTGAGGAGCACTGGGTCCGGACTGGCCACTGATGTTTACAAATGGGGCTTGGTACAAAAAAGGTTGAGAACCACTGTCTTAGGGGGTTGGAGGTGTGTGTGTAAATGAGGACTAGATAGCTGCTGTGAAGTTGGCATTGGTGCCTACACAGTTGGGTCCCAAATTGGCTAGAGGGCCGCACCCAGAGAGTGGTGGTGGATGGGTCATTTTTGACCTGGAGGGATGTGGGCAGTGGGGTCCCCCAGGGCTCGGTCCTCGGGCCTGCACTATTTAACATCTTTATCAGCGACTTGGACAAGGGGGTAAAAAGCGCCTTGTTCAAATTTGCGGATTACACTAAGATGTGGGGAGAAGTGGGCATGCTAGAAGGGAGGGACAGGCTACAACTAGATCTGGACAGGTTTACAGGGGTGGGTGGATGAGAACAGGATGGGTTTCAACACTGACAAGTGCAAGGTGCTGCACCTGCGGGGGAAGAACCAGCAGCATACCTACAGGCTGGGGAACTCCCTTCTCATCAGTGCAGAGGCAGAAAAGGATCTTGGAGTCACTATTGATTCCAAGATGAACATGAGCCAACAGTGTGGGGACGTGGTCAGTAAGGCTAACCATACCTTGCCATGCATCTCAAGGAGGTCCAAGGAGGTGATCCTCCCTCTCTATGCAACATTGGTCAGGCTGCAGTTGGAGTACTGCATCCAGTTCTGGGTGCCGCACTTCAGGAGGGATGTGGACAACATGGAGAGGGTCCAGAGGAGGGTCACTCGCATGGTCAGGGGGCAGCAGGGCAGGCCCTATGAGGAGAGGCTACAGGACCTGAACCTGTTCAGCCTCTACAAGTGAAGACTGAGAGGGGATCTGATGGCCATCTATAAACTTACCAGGGGGGATGTGCAGGGAATGGGAGAGTCCCTGTTCACCCAAGCACTACCTGGAGTAACTAGGAATAACAGCCACAAGTTGATTGAGAGTAGGTTCAGACTAGACATCAGGAGGCGCTACTTCACTGTCAGTGTGGCTAGGATCTGGAACCAACTTCCAAGGGAAGTGGTGCTGGTTCCTACCCTGGGGGTCTTCAAAAGGAGGCTAGACGGCCACCTAGCCGGGGGTTGGACTTGATGATCTGCTCAGGTCCCTTCCTGCCCTATCAATTATGAAACAATAAGTTTTTAAATCGTCTCTGGGATACAGAAGGTTGGGTGGGAGATCTGGTATGAATGAGGCCTTTCTGCTGCAAAATCTGTAGGTGAATCTCATTGTAAAGAGCAGGATCGAGGTTTATGTCACTTTAAGAAACTGACAGCTCATATGAATCTCTATTCAAGCACCAATATCATTTGAAGAGGGGGGGATTTCTTCCCAAGTTGCACATGAATATTTTGTAGTGACATTAAGAGAAAAAAATTGTTTTTTTTCCCCTCTCATGTCTTTAATTGTCTTCTGCATTCTTAGTAGGATTGAAGTGTAGTTGTAGCCATGATAGTCTAGGGCAGCGTTTCTCAAGCTGTGGGTCATGACCCAAAAGTGGGCTACAAGAATATATGAAAGGGTCACAAACAAACTTTAAAAATGGATTCTCCTTTAAAGGAAAAAAATCTGGAAAGCGGTGGGTTTCCCCTTGTAGACTGGCAGAGTTTCAGCCTGCAAGGGGCTGCTTGGGGGAGCAGGAGGTGGGTGATCAGACAGGCGCTGTCACATGCATGTGCGCGCACGTGCACGTGGCAGCCAGGCAGCATGGGGAGCAGCTCTTGCAGCTTCCCACAGATAAGTTTATGGGGTGGGGGCATAGACAATGCATTGGTGGGGGGGATGCACAGGCAACATGGGCCGGTATGGGGGGGAATATGCTCCCCACAGACTTGTGTGCCAGCTGCAGGCATGGGATTGCAGTCTGGCCAGACTGGCATGGGCAGGAGCCACCTCCACAGCCCAGCGGGCGGGACCCAGCAGAGAAGGGCAGTGAAGCTTGTTTCCCCCCCACCCCAACCTCCGCTCTGTTATTTGTTGCACAGCTGGCACGGGGGGGGGGGTCCTGCTGGTGGCAGCGGCAGCAACAAGTCCTGCAACCCCCCTGCTCCACCCTCCCACTCTGGGTCCCACTTACTAGGCCACGGAGGCGGCTCCTGCCTGTGCCAGTGTGGCCAGGCTGCATCCCTGTGCCGGCTGTGGGCACACAAATCTGGGGGAGTACGTGCCTGCCCAAGGGCCTTCCCTGCCCAACACACTGGGGGGCTGGGCCTGGGGGTAGAGGGCAGTGGGTTGGGAGTGAGGGGCACCAGCAGGGCCAGGGGGCTGTTTTCTACTTAAACTATTTGATGCGTGCAGACTGGCCATTGCTGTTTACAAACGGGCAAAAAAGGTTGAGAACCATTGCTCTAGGGATAATGACCACAGCCTTGCTCTCCAGCGGCCGCCAGAGGGTGCCCGGCACTTGCTGTGGGAGGTGCAGCAGGCCCCACGGCAGCGCTGCTTGAAGCCCCGCTGCAGAGCGTGGCCAGAGGAACAGGACCAGGCTGGACGGAGGAGCTCAGCCTTTTCAGGGGATTCTCCCTGGGGGCCAGACAGCTGCAGAGACGTGCGCAACCTCCTGCCACCCTGCTGATTTGAAGTGGTTTTATGCCCTCCTGCCTCGCTGCCAGTGCTGCCCTGCGGGGAAGAAGCAGGAGCTCAGTGCAGTTGGAGGTAGCATCCTGGGATGCTGACGGTCTGTGGTCCATGTGGCACTGTGAACGTGCCTGGCCGTGTGGGCGGGACGCCTGGATCCTACCATGTTCACCTGAATCCAAGGCAACTTTTAATTTAAGATGACCTCCCATAATTAGGTGGGCAGCAAGGCAAGCAGGGGGCAGGCACTGCGGGGGTCAAGTGGCCTGACCCTTATCCCTTGCTGCCTGCCCCCCAGCCACAGTGCCTGTGCCCCCTGTGCCTGCCATCACTTGCCTTCCTATTGCAGCTCGTTCTCTGGCTAGGTCTCTGCTCCGGCTTGGGGCACAAAGGACGGGCTGCCTCCAGGCCCCATCTGACCACACAATAGCGATTGCAGTGGCAACAGCTTTGGCCTCAGCCCCCGGAGTCGGGGCCAGAGCTGTCACTGCTGCAGCTGCATGGCCAAGCAGGGACCAAAGACAGCGTGTGCTCCCTGCCTCGGGCCAGAGCTGCGATGGCAAGGTAAGCAGCAGGTGTGGTGGCGGGGAGCAGAGGCTCCAGGGAACAGATGAACAGGGAGCAACTGCAGCTCTACCCCCAAGCCCTGGGTTGGAGCTGCAGCTGCTGGCTCGCCTCCCCCTTGTACTCAAATCTAAGATGAGGGGCTCTTTCCCCATGTGGAACGGGGGGACAACGTAAGTCTTGGATTTGAGTAAATGTGGTATTTCCGTGTTGGAGGGGGCAGGGGGAGGGCTGCTGCCTGATGGAATAGACCCCAGGAGTCCCAAGTCCAGTCTCTTGCTCCGGGACCTGGCAGGCCCTGGGGCTGCCTTTGAGCTCCAGGCAGAGCCATCCAGCCCCTGGGAAGATTCTCCTTTCTCTGCCCCAGGCCAGGACAAAGCCTGGACTGTGCTCTAGCAGCCAGTGCCCTCCGTGCTCATACTCCCTCGTGCCATGGAGCCGAGCCAGACTCCT